TAAATTGGCATCTCCAGCAGGCGTGGCGACTTGCCCCTGTCAGCCGGTCGATTTGCTGTACAGCCATTAGGCTGCACCTCTGCATTCGGCAGACATGTGTCAGCTGAATAACCTTTAAACTGATCTGAGGCCTGTGTTGAAGTGACAGCTGGCCCGATGGGGCTTGACGGAAGCCATAGCTGACGCCACAAGTAAACTCAGTGATCCATTCCTATCGTACTTCATTCTGTACCCTACAAGTGGTAAGTCACACAGTATTACGTCCTCTGACCCTCCACCTTACCCACCCAAGGCCAATGAGATGAGGAGACACCTATAAATATGTTACACCTGTTTGATCTGTGTTCCGCCCCATCAAATAGTGACAGGGTAATGGCGCATGCAGGACCATTTATGGCCCCTTTATTAAGTATACAATCATTTTACAATCTATTTGACTGCTATGAACAGTGCAACAGTTACCCTGTTTGCAGAGATTTGTAGGAGTGTTGTTTTCTCCTCCTACAACAACCTACCGGTATGTTTCTGCTCTGTAGCAATAGTGTAGCAAAAAGTAAGGTGGTGGAAGCTGGGGCGATGGATGGGTGCACAAAGCATGCACCTATCCGCTAGGGTTTGTGTCCCATCTCCTACCAACAGTCAATGTACACTTTATCTATGACAACAATCTTCCACTATCTCGCAACCTGATTTTTTGGCCACTTGGGGGCAGCAAAACAAGCTGTAAACACAACACTGACATAATATCATTTCATAAAGTAGATATGGCAAGTGTCTTAGCCATTGCCTGTTTACATATCCAACAGAACAACATTTTCAACTCCCTAGAAAAATATCTGTCTCTTTAGCAGCTAAGTGCTCCGCTATGTTCAACACCTGCGGATCTATCTGAGAACAGCTGCATCCAGATGTTTCTGGTCATATAGCCAAAACAATGAACTGAAAGAGGGTAAAATGCTCCAAACAGCTGAGCTGAACTACAAAGTAGGATAATAATTCTCTATAGGTTTGTTCTTTCATGATTCAACACAGTCACTTGATTGATTGTTAATATAAAAATATCAATGACACCAGCTTTAACCAAGTGGCTTTAGTTGCCTAAACTTCCACATAGAGGATGCAGGTTAGAAAATGTTCTTATGGATGATTTTGAAGGCCCTGACCAAGAGTATTTTGTCAGCATTTCTTTGTACATGTTACAGGTTGTCACACTATACTATTTAGTTTGCAGTTGAGCCTCTGTGATACAACTCTCTGCTGGCAGACATGTTGAACTGCTGTGGCAGAAAATAACACGGGCGTAAGTAATAACAATAATGATGTGTTTTAGGTCCTAGGGATTGTGTCTCTGACACAGCTTTCTGGCACCACAAGTAAATGGAACAAAACCATCATTAATGTTATTTGTCACAGCTCTGCTCTTCCTGGTATAACAGGTCAATACGTCTGCTGTGACAAAAATCTAGCTTTCTGTATTTTTAGCACTGGTTAGTCCAAGTAAAAGTTTTTACATGAGCTTGTTATTTGAAACAAATTATTTTCATCACGTCTAAGTGTTAATGTCTTATGGGATTTTAGTCGTAGGTACCGTATGTACAAATCAAACAATCTGATTTTTACTTGTGGATTTGTGAAAATCATTTGCATCAATTACTACAATATAATTACATATTAATCACAAAATTGCTCTGATTACATGGTAATGACAAGCTGCACCACTGTTAATCACTGTGAAATTAAATCATAAATTGACTTGGTATTTGCTGTTCTCTAAACTGAGCATCTCTTCCGTTTCATCAATCATATCCAGGTAGTAGTTTTTTTTTGTTTTTTTTTACAAGCTAGTGCATTTCTGCATAGAGTCAGTTCTTATTCAGAGGAGTATTAAGAATCACTGCACACTCTTTATTTGCTCTCTTGTGGAACTCACATGGGGTAAAGGGTATAAGGTAAGGTTTAACACTTTTATTAAACACACGGACAACACGACCACGTACAGCAGACAAGACAGGCTGTTTGGCAGACACAGACGGAGCGCAGACAGAGACAGCAGGCACAAGCACAAACACAAGACGCCTCTGAGGGAGGAGCTGCCGCAGGGAACAGCGGTGGTGCAGGCCCACCGCTGTAGCCCCGAACACACACTGACATGTAGTAGAAGCCAGCTGGGGGTTAGCCTGAGACTTATGGGTGGAGAAGAAGCAGCACACAAAATGGATGCCAATCATATCCATGCAGAAGCAGGGGAGTGGGGGGAGAGGATTATTAGTTAGTCTATAGAGCTGCGGTACAGTCCAGTACAGTGTGCATGCCACAAATGCCTTCTACTTGGAGCAACAGATAGAATAGAAAAACAGATATACTTTGTGGCAATAAAAGTCTTTTTATGCCATCTGCATTCAAACAGACATGTATATGCAGAAAGGCTAAAAGAAAAAAGGTGGGTGAGTCGGGATGGAGGGGGTGGGGGGGGTGGGGGTTAACGCTCGGGAGGGGAGACAGGGAGTCATTCTTTCACACACAACTTTCTTGAGACAGAATGGGGTTGCCTGCACAAGGCCAAAAAAAGGATGATGGCAAGAAAAGATTTTGTTGCCGTTCATTTCCCTATGTTGTATCGAAAATGGGGGAGGATGTTTCTTTAGAAGCCATATGGCACAAAAAAATAAACACAAAACTTGATGAGGAGGAGAACTTTGAAATTTTCCAACCACCAAAAGTTCATGCGGCACAAGATGAGGCAAAAACGGGAGGAGCGGCTCTATCCTTGCTTGGAGGATGGACGACGGATGATGAGGAGGACACCAAAGAAAAAAAGAAAAAAAACAACCACAACAAAACAAGAAAATCAAATCACCCCACTCAACCCGCCCCGGCCCCAAAGTAAAGCGGAAAAAAAAAAGAAAAAAAAAAGAAAAAAAAAAAAAAAAAAAAAAAGCTCTAATCTTAAGCAACCCAGCAGCTGGGTCCAAATCGATACAGAAGAGAGATGTTCATATGTGCATCACAGGAGAAAAAATAACAAACAAAATGCAACAGAAAAGAAATCAACATCATGTCATGCAACTGTTCATACGACTGGAAGCGGGGCAAGGAATGAGGATATGAATTTCTGTGTCAACATGGTGAAATGTACAGTATGTATGAGTGTGTATGACTACATATGTTGCCACTATATGAGGGGAGGGTACCATGTTCTCTGAGTAAAAACTTCTTACACTACACTTTGTTGCACTTCCACTTTTGAGAATACTTGGGTTCGAGGTTTTAACAGTCAGGACACATAAAACGAAGGACATGAGCCGTAAAAAATTTGCCCATTCAATTTCAATAATCTCTGATTTAAGAAAGCAACTCGTGCTTCTAGATAAAGCACCTAAATACTGCATGAAGGCACGGAGAAAATGGCTTTCTCTTCACATCAAAAAGCCATAAGCACGCGGACCTAAATGTGGTCATAATTTCAAGGAAACAAACGCTTTTACAGTGTGATAAGGCTTCAAAGTAAACGAGTTCCTTTCACAGATTGGAGGAAAATGGTAAAATGACTAGCAGAATATCTACTAAATTACATGGAAAGACCTCATTTCCGAGAGAAGTAAATAAATGCTCGATTATCTGTTATGTTCTCTGAGCGCGCATAACATAGTGAAAGGGCAATGCATTGTTCCAACTTAGGCTTATTATTAGCCGTGAAAAGTGGACATATGCTTGGTGCTACGCTGAGCCATATTTAGCCAGATTAACACAGCATCAATTAGTCTGCTATGATGGCGTTTTGAAGGACAGTGAAGCAATCAAATAGCCTGAGCTGTTAATGATTTCCAGGGTGCCTAAGGGGAGACGCTTTTCACATACTGAGCCAGTTTCAGCAGAGCTCACGCTCTCCTGCTTTACTCCATACCATTAGGATATGTGCCAACTGCTCCTGGGCGTAAGTGCGAGTTACAGCTGCGTGTTCAAAAGTCATCCAAACCCAAGTTGCCTCAAAAATAACCACTCCTTTTAAATCTGCGGCTTTATTCCCAGCTCTGTTTTTATTTTCAAACTCCAGTGAGTGAATGTCTTATCACTTTGATCTAATCACAAAGTGACGAGTGTGTGTGCGTGTGTGTGTGTGTTTTTGTAAATGTGTGTATATGTGTGTGTGTGTGTGTGTGTGTGTGTGTGTGTGTGTGTGTGTGTGTATGTGTAAAGGGAGGAGGGAAGAGAGACGATGCGCACAGAAATTCGAGGATATCTGTTCTCTATTAGAATGTTTCAGGTAAGGCAAGCCTCCGACGAAGGAAACAGAGGTACAAACAAGAGAAGAAGAAGGAGAAGGGAGGAAGAGGCTCTGTTGCAGTTAGTCTGCTACATATCACAGTATCTATGCTGAAAGCATCTTTGTTCTCGAAAGAATCTCAAAATGTATCCTCTGTCAAGAGAGACGCACACACACGCACAGCAAGAGGAAATCAACCATGTACAGGACAGATACATTTTGAAGCATCAGTGCGGGCGACATGGGGCTTGATACTAATTTCGTACTTTGTTGAGTAAAGTTTTGCTCTCGACCGAATGCTGAGAGAACAAAATTAGTATCAATGCTTCGTCATGTCTGCAACCAGTGGCCCCATAGCTAAGTGTAACTTGTTTTAGAGATGGAAGGTATGAGCTTTAACTACAGTGGCTGACTATATATGATGTATGCATTTACTTATTTTCAGGTAAAGTTGTGACTTCCTGCAGAGAGCATGCTAAGGATATAGAAACTTAATTCTTACTGCTTTCATCCATCTCCAAAGAGATTCTTTAAACTTTAGATATACACTGAGGACCCTTCACACTAGTGTGCATTACTCACTGTGGCTACTTTTCGGAGGGCTTTTTTGAAGTTACACTTGAAGCTCCCATGGGACATGATGCTAAGAGGAGAGGCTCCTCGGTAGCAAATCAAAGAAAGATAAGGAGAAATAGACCAGGTTCAGAGCAAGCACAACTCGACACACCCATCCCACCTGCATGTCCGGAGTCGCACTCTTCCAGGTCCTCGTCATCGCTGGAGCACTCTGCGGATGAAACAATGTCATCTGTCGTCTGCGGAGAAAGAGACACACACACACACACACACACACACACACACACACACACACACACACACACACACACACAGACACACAGAGGAAAATGTGGTTAGGCCCGGGGCAGTACAGTGAGTCCTCAGCTTGCACACAGCCATTCCATTCAAGGATATCTTTGCACACACAGACCTCTCCGCCTGTCCTTCGGCTTCCATATATCACTTGGAGTCAATCATATTTCACAGTGTTTATCATTCTTCACTTTATGTGCTTTCCACCTCCGCAGATAATTGTTTTCCTTCACCCTCCGCACTCTGCCTCCGATTATTTATCGCCCCTCTCCTCCTCCGTCGTCCACAATCAATGGCCCCACCAAGCCCTCACAGATCAACACCGTCCCAGCTTCTGATTTGTGCTAAAGGGTGTGGAGGGAGGGAGGGACGGGGTGGCAGACTTGCTAGCTACAGCCGGACCAGCGATGGATTATCTCCACCCTCCAGTTCCCACAATTCTGATTTATCCTCTGCCCCCCATCCGCCCCTCCCTTCCCTTTTTTCGGGTCGACCCATGGAGGACAGAGGGGGGGGAGGTTGTATTTCAGCTGTGGTGCGCTGGGCAGCCGGCGTTTATTAGAATGAATCAGCGGGGCGATAAAATAAGCCCTGTCACCAAGCAGGGTTATGAAATCAGAGTGCTGATTGAGTTTTCCAGTCCTGGCCGAGGGTGTGGAGCTCTAAATATCATTGAGTTTGACAGACTAATGAAACGCGCCCCCATGCTCGTGCTGCTGCTTTCAACAGGGCCTGGAGAAAGCTGTCCACCTCTACCGTGTGCACGCACGCTGATATTCAACATGCATGTCTACCAAACCTCACAGCCAGACTGTTGCTTTTTAAGCATATTCCTAATGCGTTCCCATGATTATGCATGATGGGCTCTGCTATTGTCTGTATCCAAACATTTGATAATGTGTTAATGTGTGTTGGCGCTAGTGTGCATAATGCACCACATTATGTACTGTACTCCAGCGCGAGGAGGCAAAAAACTAAGCAAGAGGAGAGGCTGTGAACTAAATTGCTGTAAAATATGGCCCCTTGGTAAACATGACATTATTTATTGAAGCCACATTACGGGCGTAAAAGTCTTGGTTATTGTTGAAAGAGGGTTATTGCTTGTTATTATGATAGCGGCAGATGTGGGAGGCAGGGACACAGAGGGGGAGAGAGAGAGAGAGAGAGAGATGAAAACCTCCAGCCACTTCAAAGTCTGTTCCAGCAATTCCAGCCTGAGACCATCACACCATAACCCAGGATCAACTGAAAACACTGCCTTTCTCTTGTCCATTCACGCTGAATTTCTCTGCAGCTGATGCCGGCAGCATCTCGGCACAGAGCAAATATTCTCACTGCCACGGATGCAGCGGCTTCACGTAACCTTACACACTAATCCATATGTTCAATATGATGCAGTGTATTTCAGTGCTTTCTCTAATTTCCTGTGTTACCTGCTTTCTAAAAAAAACTTCTAAGCTAAGTGCACGTAAACGCACTGGTTGACGTACAGGCTGCGGCAACACAAGGTTGCATTAAGCATGAAAAGTTATTAAAAGGCATCTTGTTCTACCATCTTAAGAGCACTGTAATAAATGTGTAATGTCATTCATGTCATATGCATAAAGAAAATCAAATCAACTGCATAAACCATGAAAGTGTGTAATGAAACATATTTAAGTTGAAGATGAGATTCTCCTCACGTCAAATCCGTCTAAATGTGAGCTTTCGTTCATTTTATACACATTCCCTCCATGGCGATGGGCACAAGAGGAGAAAACCCTTGGAAAACCACAACAATCATCAGACCATCAGTCTCAGTGCAGCGATTCACGACAAAGGGGAATTTTTGTCACATTCATAACCTAACATTGTGCTTTCGCTATGCCTGGGCCCTGTCAGGTTGTAGGCTGAAGACAGGCATGAGGATTCTATATTCTATCTAATAAATGATGAGAATATTTATTAGGGCAGTGGCTCCCTGGCTTTTCTGTCTGAAGTGCCCCCACAGCCTCATCAAATGAGCTCAAATAGCCCATTGTATTGCTTTTTATTGTCCTGTTTCTTCGTCTTGAACTTTTGTACTTTTTATGATGTAAAGCACTTTGTGATTTTTATTTCTTTTCTTTTCTTCACTTACTTACTAAATCACCACCCATCACTTAATAAATGAAATTCATTTTGAAAATGGATGCACCTGATTTTATATTAATCATATAAAAGTGTATATTGTTGGGGCGTCTCCCTAGCTTGTAAATTATTGATTACTTTCAATTATTTTGATGTTAGGATGTTAGAACTGACTCAGGTTTAGTTGGAGGCGTATCCTATGCGTCCTGTCCTGTTGATTATTTATTATTGGGATGATAAATATCCCCAAATTTTCATATCTGAACAAAGCCTTAGTAAAAGTTCAAGTAGGACTGACGTTGCTGTAACTGGGTCAAAGTAGGTGTGTCAAACTAATTAAAGCAATTGACAGTCAAATAGCATGGGCTTTTAGCCCAGACGGAAGCCTCATCACAAATGCTTATAATCTCTGTGCTCTCTTGACTTGTCGGCACACAGAGGCCAAAGCCCTGCACAGCATTGCAGAACTCCTGCAAGGAGAAAATCATTAAGCACTTCATCTTCGAACCTATCCACACTAAAGCAGAGGACTGCCTGCCTCAGCTCATGCATTGTAGAGGTTGCATGCAAATGGTAGAAGGACACACTCCAATGTATTCACTTTCCATTTCATTGAAAATCATCTACAGACTCGGAGTAAGAAACCCTCTCATCTAAGCAACTTTGATTCCACTCAGAGAAATTGAAGAGGGCTTTTGAAGTGTGATATATGACATTTGTAGATTCGCTAGATGTGCGCCTGATTCACTTTCATAAACACATGATGTATCTCTGCCCGTCACAATGGTTCAGATTGAAGTGCTTCTCACGAGGGGCTTAGGGTGCCATTTTTCCGCATTTGGGCTAATGCAGAACCAATGAAGTGACACACAGAGCTCACAGTCTTCTCTCAGTTGACCAGAGATGTCGATAATAACATATGGCATGAGGCTAGATGTTGTAAATGCAAAGGGAGCTCATGGAGCGGAAAAGGCATAGGCTGCATTTGTGCAGTGATGGGAGCCTACAGCGGGGTAAAGCATAATGATGCGGTTGGCCAGCGGGACTACAAAAACTGATTTCACAGCTGGGGAAATCCAATTCTCTGTCTAAATCTCCATAACATAGAGTGGGATATATTTTGGCAGCAAAGTGATTTCTTTTTTGGTGTAATTATTCTCAACAAACATTCTCATCGTCATTTGAAGAGAGGCTGGGTGGTAGGATTTACAGGACGGTTTGTTGTGTGTGTGTGTGTGTGTGTGTGTGTGTGTGCGTGTGTGTGTGTGTGTGCGTGTGTGTGTGTGTGTGCGTGTGTGTGTGTGTGTGTGTGTGTGTGTGTGCTGTGTGTAAAGAATGCGTATCATACACGATGATTTGAGGACATAAAAACTCACAGGCTATGTGCATCATGCCTGATTATCCTGATTACCCTGCTTTTGAGAGATACTCAAATTCCTAACTCCACAAACAAACACCAGAGCGAGATCAATAGCCAGACTTCATTAAAACAGCATTTACCTCTGACCACTTCAGCACATCAACTAAAAGGATCACACTGGCGATCGATGAAGATAGACAGCCTCCTTGGGAGACAACTCTCAAAATACACAGCTTTTAGTTTCACAGCTGACGGCATTGACACAAACAAAAGGGAGAACGTGCATGGGTGCTGGGCGGTCTCAGCCTCGACAAAGCCTCTCTGGTGTTTAATCAGAAATTCTGGACTGACTACTGTGAATCAGCCAGCAGCAATGCAGAGACCATTAACAGGCGAAGCTGCAATTACCTCAGCCAGTGAATGGAGTGTATGCTACATCACCAGTCAGGCCTGACCTCAGAGTGAACAAAGAGGCTGCAAGATTGATTAACAATAAACTTGAAGCTTGGGAAACAACACTTATTAAAAAAAAACTTTTTCATCACAGAAGAAAGAAGAGATGCCCGTCCAGAGGAGATTTATAATTTATTATGCAAAGAAATTTGACAACAATTTGCAGATGGATGGAGCAGTGTGGAAAGAAAAACATTTTTTTTAATAACTGTCAGATCTGAATTAAAAATGCTTTGTTTCATTTTTTAAAGGATATGGTCACATTTTTACACTTTCCCTGTGTTTTATCTGTGTTAATCCATAAGAAGATATATTTGTGGTTTTAAGAACCAAAAACCATCTTGTCTCTCAGGCGTCTCTCTGAAACTCTACTAACAACAGGTCGGTGTCTGCGACAGAAAAGGAAGCACATCACTCTGTTAATAATAAATAGGCCCTAAATAAACAATACTATCTGTAAGATTTGTAATAATGTCTTTTCTTTATTTTTCCAGAATTGTTTTAATTTCAACAACTAATGAGCAACCTTGACAACTATGTCTTAAAACAGACCATAATTTAATAATGTGCTGACGGCCATCATCTGAAGATCATACGGATATAACAGCAATTGTTTCGACTTGCAGTGAAACTCTTCAAATACATGGACGATAACAAGAGCAGCTGCAGCATCTGCGGCTCTGTCTGCAGTTGAATATTCTGCTGAGCATGACGGTGATTTGATCGGTCACATCAAAGAAACAGCTTGTGCTCGGCGGGGGAAAGAAAGACATAATGTACTCGACCACTGTCTATAGTTTTCCCCTGGGTCAGTAAAAGCAGTGTAAAGGCTAAAATGCAGCCATGGCCTCTGGGTTACAAACAGGACATGAAATATGAGCGTGAACAGTGCTGTGTCTTCCAGAGGTGAGGGGGGAATCACATGCTTAAGTACAGTACACTGAGTCATATTATCAGGGAGGGCACTGGAGGTTGCTCCTGAACAAACCGTGGTCTTATCATAACTAATGACCTTCACATGTC